CGGTTTCTCGGAGTTTGGCGAGCTCTGGATCCTTCTTTTGGTCCTCAATCATCTGTTTTCGAGTTGATGCCGGCTTTTCAGATTTTGGCGTTGGTTCTTCAAGAGAAGCAAAGAATGTGGTGTTCAAGTCCACATCATCGTGGTTACTGTTGGCTTTGATAACGTTCTCTTCTTGAGATGCTTTCAACCTCATTGCCCTTGTTACTGCACACGCTGGATATAACTCTAGGTCTTCCTCGGGTGTGGCAGATAAGTCTGGTGTTTGAGTGACGATGGGTTCGGCTATCACCTTTCCACCTGCTAAGTCATTGCCTAACAGCAACGAGATGCCTTCCAATGGTAATGTTGGTCGGACACCTACAACAACCGGTCCAGTAATGAGATTTGACTTTATGTCGATTAGATGTAGAGGCACATCTATACATCCAAGCTCTACGCCTCGTAACAGGATGCTCTTCCCAGTCGATGATGATTTTGACAAGGGCAAGATACCCTCTAAAAGTAGCGATTGTGAGGCACCTGTGTCTCTCAAAATGGTGATAGGTCGTAGACTTGTAGAATCACCGGGTAGTGATACAAATCCTTCCGAAATGAAAGGCTTAAAATCCTCTAATAAAACATCAATTTTGGTTGATGCAGACTGGACTTGGGTCGAACTCTCGCTGGAGTCATTGACATCTCTAGGAGACGCAGTGGAGAAACTCTTTCTTGAGTCAGTAGAACATCTTTTGGATGTATTTGGAGAACTCTTGATGGAGTCATTGGAATATCGGGGTGATGTCTTATGGGAACTCTTGATAGAGTCATGGGAACATCGGGGTGATGTATTATGGGAACTCTGGATAGAGTCATTGGAACATCGGGGTGATGTATTATGGGAACTCTGGATAGAGTCATTGGAACATCGATGTGATGTATTTGAAAAACTCTTATTTGAGTCATTGGAACATCGGCTTGATGTATTTGAAAAACTCTTGTTTGAGTCATTGGAACATCGTAAAGATGAATTTGAAAAACTCTTGTTTGAGTCATTGGAACATCGGCTTGATGTATTTGAAAAACTCTTGTTTGAGTCATTGGAACATCGTGGAGACATTTTCGGAGAGTCTTGTACAGTCAATACATTTGAAACAGGTGGTGTCGAGGTATTCTTGATATGACTTGAGGATGAGGGAGTAAACCTCGACGACCACTGTACTGTGCAAGCGCTGACTTTTGAAGGAGCTTTTTCGTTTCTCTTCTTCAGTTTCCAGCAATCGTCAATTTTATGGCCTTCTCGTTTGCAGTAGGAACAAGTAGCTTTACTTGTAGTAGGTTTTCTGTCGTTTGTACTGCTGTTCTTGATGGAGTTGCTAGCAATGGACTCAGGCTGTTTGACTTGTTTTGGCTTGACATCCGTCGTATACTTGGCAAATTGATGTGATATTATATAATCGTCTGCCAACACTGCAGCCTTGTGCACATCTTCCTCGCCACGATCAGCTATATGCGTACGGACGTCCAGCCGCACACAACTCTTGAACTCTTCCATCAGCATTAGGTTCTTGAATTTTGCAAAGTCGGTGCCGATTTCCCTGGAAGTGAGCCATTTCTCAAAGCGTCGCTCCTTTTCCCGCAGGAATTCTACATGGGTTTGGCCATCCGATTTGCGACAATCCCTGAACTGCTTTCGGTAAGCTTCCGGAACAAGTTCATATGCCTTAAGAATTAAGGCCTTAACAACATTATAATCTTTTTGTTGTTCAATGGTCAAAGAACAAAATACCTCTGCAGCTCTACCAGTCAAAACTGTTAGCAGCAAAGTGGGCCACAAAGTTTCAGGTACATTAAAATTTTTCACAGCAAGTTCAAATTGTGGAAAATAATTGTCAATTGTGGCTTCATTAAAGCGTGGAATTATTTTCAAAAATTTTGTTGCTTCAGCAGTATGACTGGCAGGGGAAGAATCTGGTCTTACATTAGCAGCTAACTCTAATTTCTTTAACTCTATTTGTAATTTCATTTCCATTTCTTTCTGAGCCGCTGCAAGCTCTAATTCTTTTTGTTTAATTTCTCTCTGCTCTCTAGCCATTTCCTTCTGGGCTTCTATTTCCATTTGTTTTAATTTTATCTGAAGTTCTAAATCTGATTTACCCTCATCGGGTCTAAGGGTTTCTAAAAGGTCTTCAGAAAATACTTCCTCGTCTACATAATGGATTACAATGTTATCTCTGATTTCTTGTTTAAGGGCATTTGATTTTATTTTTAACCCTAAATGTTTAGAAATAAGGACCAGTTCCTTCCTAGTAAAAGCATCAAGTTCTTTCACAGAAGGATTTGCAAGAAAAACCTGAATATCCATGACTAACTAGCAACTATTACAAGCAAAAAAAAAAAAAAAAAAAATGTATACAATGTAAATATACAGTACAAAATCAGTACAACAAAAAACCTTAAGAGAGTTTGGTCAATACTATTGATACTTTACTTCCGACTCTTTGAACAAAAAAAAATTTTTGTTAAAGTCAACTTCGCCTTTACAAAATTACTCAAGTAAGACGAAAATAGGTTCAGAAAAATATCCGGGACGAAAGCCCTCAAACTTCTTTTGTCACGTATTACGAATTGAATTCTACTTTTAAATGGCTTGCCTAGGGGAACGTGACAATAGAAAAAGGTAGTTGTGTCACTTATCTTAAGTCTGAATTTAATCAGAGACTTACAATGAATAACAAACAAAAAAAAATGACACAAGAAATCGGAAGGTAAAATATCAACTTAATGTTTAATCATAATATAACTCAATACAAAATGGAAGGGTTGACCAAAACCCTTTTACAAAAATGGCATGTAAAAATATTACAATACAAGAGTTTGAAAATATAATTACAAATACAAGCAAGGCCTTGAAAAAAAAGAAAAAATCTTAACTTACACGATCAAGTGGTATACCACGCACGGGTAGCGCAATGTCTCCGCTATTCTGTCCCACGGCTGTCTCCGTATGTCTGTCCGTCAACGTCACGCGGGCGGTCTTTATATAATCTACCGCGCGTCGATCTCAAGACAAATCTAGGAATTTCTCGAACCAAATACGTCATCAATTTCCCAGATCTAGAACGCTCTTCAAAGAGACAGAAAAAAAAACACCCTCCTTTCAACCAGAGGTACACACACAGGTCAAGGACTGGTCACTGTCTGTGTGGCTTGACGAATAAAAAAAAACTTATTACACAAGGGGCGGACAACCTACCCGTCTCTCGACCGCAACAGGTCAAAGAAAGAAAAAAACAACACCTAGATACGTAACACAAATATTTTGTACATAAAATGTTAACTTTCTCGTAGGTTCAATCAAAATTTTGGAGTACTTGGTGTTCTGGATCGTTTTCATGGAACAGACTCTCAGTTCCGAGCATCACTTGCATATCAGAGACACTTCCTGTTACTGTCCACAGTTCCAGTCTCTCAACAAGTTCCAGAACCCTCTAAGAAAACATCAGAGTAGAAACGTCAGTTTTATGATGCAGGCCTTGGTTCTCCGTCAGCTAGTGTGAAAATCTGATTAAAATATGTCTCAACAACTTTAACTTATTGATAAGATTGCCTCCCCTAATCAAATTTTTGTGTGTGCTATAATTAGAATTGACTAAATTCTTACATTTAAAGTTTTAATTTTATCTTTACTGTTTCATGATTCTAAAGTCTGGGATAATTTAGAAATTTAGTCGTAGGCTGCTGTGATGACTTGTCAGTCCTGTAAATTGAAACTTTAAAACAAGCACCAGAAGGTGGCCATTGTTTCACTCTATGTCTTAATACCACTTAGATAAACTCTTCATTCAAACTTGTATCTACTTTCCAGACAGAGGAGAAAGTTTAAACCTAGCAGTCAGCATGACATACTTTCCAAACTGGAGTTAAGCCTTTTTTTTTTCTTCTATGTATTTCTTTGAGTTCTAAATCTTTTATTTTCTTTGCTTATCAGTCTGATGATTAAACCCAGCTGTTTGATTCTAATATTTACACCTCATACCTACAGGTTATTTATCTTTTTCAAATGACCAAAGACTAGATCTGTTTTTTTTTCCTTTCTAATTGATTTCTCTTGACTTCAAGGACAAAACTAATAAAATCAGTGATAAATTTGAATCTATATCTTTACAATAAAAACCCATTGAATCAATAGCAAGAAATGGAATCGCTATGGAGACATAGCATAAGACAGGTCTATCTTTATTTCTGATTTATTTTTTTTTAAACAAAAATAAAAAAGATTTGAACTATTGAAGCAAGTATATTATTGATAGCTCAATCCATTGTTTGTATTTTGATTTTATTTTTGTTTTATTTGCACTGTGGACCTATCTTACACATTTTATATTATGAAACAAATTTTATACAAAGTATTTTAAAACTTTTTTTTTCCAAAGGTTTTAAACATTAAAAAATGTAAATATAAAGTTATCTCCATTCCCTTGTTATCAGCATCTTGACATATTTATATCTTTTATCTGTATGAAGTTTTCATGAGCAGACGCTGTAGCTATTAATTAAAAAAAATATTGTTATATTTGCTTCTGAGATTCTGTTCACTTTATTGCTTTTATTTAATGTGTTGAAAAATGTGCACAAGTTTTTTTTATATTTTTACTCTCTGGTCATATTCAAATATTTTGTACAGTGCCATGGTCCAAACCATATTCAGTCTGGTCATATTCAAATAGTTTGTACAGTCCAAACATTTTTTTTTTAATTTGAGTGCCATGGTCCAAAACATATTTTTTAAAAGTGTTATTTTTTTCAAATTTTTATTATCTTGCCACATACAATTGAAGATTAAAAATGCTAAAATGATTGACTCCCTTGCTATTCATCTCTTCACATTGTCTTATTGAACTATTTTGGTCACATTTTGTCTTTCTAAAGTCTTATTCTGTAAATATATTTCAGTTTTGGAAGCCTAGTCTTTTTATGTTACAGTGTTTCCTACAATTATGATCTGTGATATTAAGATCTTTCAAAAGAAAAAAAAAAAAAAAAATAAATTCTTTCACTTTTTATTTTTTCCTGTGTTCCTCTCTTTGATTTCTATCTGGAAATACATTTTGATTGTCTGATTTAAAAATTGAAAATACTCCTAGCCCTTGCAAGTTTTTTGTGACTTTTTTTTTCCCAATCATTGATAAAAAAAACAAACAACTCATTTTTTAAAGCCTTCATTTATCTTTCACTAAATAAATTTGTTACATTTTATTAAAGCTATGTTCAAATTGTTTCTTTTGCAACCCATTGACATCATCATAAATTGAACTTAACAGGAAACCTGAAGCACTTCATGAAGTTGGTAAGACATATGCTTGTTGAGATGGACTCTGTGTGGTCTCATTATGTCAGTACTGGTATTCAATTGAATCAAAACTCCTTGTTGTCTAACCTGGTGTTGTACTTAAAGCATTATAAAGCATTGGGGACTATTTCTTTCCCAATTCTATTTGTGTAGACATGTATCTGTAGTATGGTGAAAACTTTGGACCTGAAAATGTAGATAGACAGTGTTGCTTTCTTAACATTGTTTCAGAAATCTCAAAACTTTTTTTTTACTTTGGCTTTTGTAGACTATGTAAAATAAAATTTAGTAAAAATGTTTTGTTTTGAGTTTGTTTTTTAAACCTAAAAATCCATTGACCTGATGGAGTAAAAGTAGACACAGTTGACGTGAGAATCTTAAGACAAAAAAATAAAAAAAAATTAAGATCCTGATGGGTGCTTAATTGCAACTGTCCACAAAAACTAGCAGTTCATGTTAGCTTGTTACTGATTGTCTGATGTCGGTGACATCTAGTAGGTCTTGAGCAGGGAGAGGGTGGATTCAATAATTCCAACAAAATATAAGAGCTCACATTTTGAGTTAGGACCCCAAGAGCTAGAGGTGTGGCCAATATATTTGTACTTACACTGGAAGTTTGGGCTAGTATGAACAGATTTACTCATGTCTATTCTTTTCAATTTTTACAAGGAATCCTAAAAAAAAAAAGTCTGGAAATTTCATATGTTGCCCAGATGAAAGTAGAATTTCAGGGAACCACAGTGTTTTAAAAATACCTTTAAAGGAAAAACCATTTCTACCTTTGTTTTTTTTTTTATTTGGTTTGTTAACTGTGGTCCTAGTGAAATGATTACGTTTGGTTGAAAATTGTAATTCAGAGATACAGGTGTACTTGAGAAAAAGTTCTCATTTCTTTCAATGATAATGTTTCTGTGCTAATAGAAATTTTTGTAGGATTCACTAGATCCACTTAATCACAGCATGGCATCCATACACCCAGTGTAACTATGGACTCTGTTTATAGGCTTTAATATCCAGGGCCAAGGTATATTGACTAAGAACATGAGATGTCCAAGTTTTGGATATATTAGGATTAATGCTGTTTTTCTTAAAAAAAAATTAATAATTATCATTTTCCCTCAATGTATTTCAAAAACTGAACACACAATGTAGCTATAGAGTCAAGCAAATATTTATTATACATACAAGATCATCAGAATATCAAAACAATAAATTATGTGGACAAATTGTTTGTGGTTACAGAAAACAATGTAGAAGAAGAAAATGGATCTCACAACCAGACCTACCACTGAGCTCAGCTTCATCTAGTAGAACAAGACTCAAATCACAAATGAAATCACATTGGTCAATTTAAATGGGACAAGCTATGAAATAGTTTCTTGTTTCAAACTGTAGCAACAATTGAAACAAAATTAGTCAAATATACAAAACCACTTCATTGAACTAGAAATAGAATAAGTCCCATCATGCATCTAGAAATAGAACTCTCAAAGGACTTTAAAAATGAGACACCCAATGTCAGGACAGTTCTAGCAGTCTTCTAATGTTGGTTAGAAAAGAATTCACATTTCCATTTTGTGCACATTATAGACAACTGTCAAAAGGTCACTTAAAGTTTAACCATTAGATCATTTCTTGAATGCATAGATTGAAATACACTCTCCCAATTTTAGAACTACTCTATTTATTTTGTGCATTTGATCAAGTTCCAGGCCATCAGGGTCTGACAAAAGAGAAGTGGAAATAAGTGATCGTTGAATCTATGAATCCTAGTGGCTTCAAACATTGACACAGTTATGACTGCACAATATGAAAATTTTAAGTTTGCTTCGATGTTAATTTTCGAACACAGTATGTGTTGGTCCATAAATGTACAGATAACATTAGGAAAAAGGTCATAAGCTAACCATACAAGTAAATGACCACCCCAAGTCTTAGTGCCTAGATGTGGTCAAACCTGCAAAGGCCTCTTCAATGCTCTAGATAAAATGTTTTATCATAAGTAGACTATTACATTGACTATGTTTGTTGCTATTAGCATACATCAACATCACATGCACACCAACCATTGTTACAAGATTTAGTAGAACATATTGATAGAGAGGTTCAGGGAAAGTGTGGATTAAAAACTGTTACCAGGGTAGCATGGGGAAGGAAACAATCTAAAATCAAACTCAAGAAGCTCAAGTCTGAAGTAATGTACAATTCACAACAGGTGACAATTCAGGCTTCTTGATCCAAAAACAGTCAGCCAGAAGTCAGAGCACTCTCTAGCACTTATTGTAGAGTTTAAAGAGTTGGCGAAATTTATGGAATGTGCTGTCGATGCAATTCTTTTGTATTTCTTTGACTTTGTGTCAAATGCAAGTTAGGTTGAAATTAAAAAAAAAAAAAAAAAAAAAAAAGATGTACAAAGTTGCATTATGGTTAGTCTTTGGTCAAACTGCACTACATGCCAGGGTCAGGGATACTTTTCTTTAGTTCCGCTATCTGTTCCCCGCCCAGAGTTATTTTATCCTCCATCTCCTGAAGGTCAATCGTTAGCTTGGACTTCATCTTGATGTAGTGGTTGTAGTCAGCAAACTCCACTTCATCCAACCTCTCACGAAGTATCAAGGACAGCTGCTCATTGCGCTTGTCGATATCGTCTTTCAGAAGTTTGGCTTCCTCGTGCTTGGAGTGAAGTCTCTCTCTTTTATCTACGGTGAGTTTCTGAACAAATCAAAGTGTAGAGAGGGTTAGAATAATGGAGACTCATTGTTATACAATAGTTACTAGAGTTCATTTACAATTTAATCTACCAAACTGTGGCGAGAGGCTATCTAAGAAATAGGTTCATAGTTTTATATAATGCTTTATCAATTTGTTTAGTTTTAGAAGTTTGGAATGTTCCCTACAGGAATGAAGAGTTTCAAGAGTATTAGTTAGATCAGACATCCTGTACGATAGAAGAGGATAACAGCGGTCAGGGTTTCAACTTGGGACTACTGAGACAGCAGTTTGAAGTGCATATCACACGATCATGCAACCCACTCAAGTTATTACTAGATATACTTATTATATGCAACAACCCACTCAAGTTATTACTAGATATACTTTTTATATGCAAGACTTTGGGATCTATAGGCTAGATGATGTAAAGTTCATCTGTTTCTATGACTGGCGATTAACAAAGAGTCACGTAGCCAGCACAACCACCTTTACTTTCCCCCAACTAATAGCTGCTACCCATTAGAGTTGGGTGGATTCAGGGGTGTCCTAAGTTTAAAGTGCCAGTCTTCATCCAGATTCAAAACTGAGACCCCTGGATTCAGAAGCCAAGCACTTTATCATTCAGCCACCATGCTGAAAAACAAGATAATTCTTTTCTTCATGGATAACTTCTAAAAACTTGAATAAAGTGCCTTTTAATTGTGAAGCATTTCAACATAACATATATACAAGGCTAACATTATATACAGCACAACTCCACTAGAGGACTTCCTTCTTCTTGTTTACAACACATTTGTCACCTCCCGCAAGTCCCCTAACTCTGGTACCAAACACTTGACCGTGTGTCACGGTTGACCACACATAGTAACCGTGTCACAACAATGATTCTGCTCTAAATATCCCTGAAATCTAAATGTGGACCCCAAAGATTCTTCATCTATGGCTAGAGGATGTATTTCAAACAACAAGCAGTTTAGTCTAGACCAGTGTTTCCCAAACTGGGGTATGTGTACCCCCAGGAGTACACACTGCACCTCATTAACTATGCTGATTTTTTGAAATACCCATTCATTATGTTCATTCTTCTCGTAGACGCAAGTACTCAGTGTTACAAAAAATTATAAAAAAGGGTACACTTTAGTCAAAAGTTTCGGGAAACACTGGTCAAGACCAATAAGTTCTCGATGGAAATCAAAGAAAACCTTACTCTCAGCTTAGCATCAACATCTGGGGCTAAGGCTTGTACAGCATTCTCTGCCCTTGCCAACTGGCCCGACAGGTTCAACAACAGCCTGACAATCTTCTCAAGGTCATCGATGTAAGTCTTAAACTTTTCTCTTTCACTTTGTGTCTGGCACTTTGTCTCTATCACTTGATGCACCTGAGGAACCAAAACAAGATTCACAGTGATAACAATCAGGGCAAAACAGTAACAGTGCAATCCGTTAAGTCTACACTATGAGAAGTTGATTCAATGAATTTAAAAAATAATAAAAAAAAACTACAACTTCTTATTCTTATGACCTAACTTTAAACCCAAATCCAAAAACAAAATAACATATAGGCTAAGTTTAAATTTAAACTATTGGAAAAGAAACAGCAACAAAAATTATAGCCCAAATTTAAACCAACCTTTAAAAAAACAAAACTTAAACAGCTGGAAAAAAACAACTCTTGCCTGTTTTCCAAGTTGATCATTTTCAGCAATTTCTTGTTGAAGCATTTCTTTCTCATCTTTAAGGACATGGAGTTTCTTATGAAGTTTTTCTAAAAGCTCTTCCTGGAATATCAAAGTATAAACTACCATCAGTGCTGCACAGAACATTTCAATGTCAATAGTAAAAAAAGTAAAGTTCCCCTTTCAGACCTTGTGGTCTATAGGGCAGATGATGTAAAGGTCATCTGTTTCTGTGGCCCACGGTTAACGAGGGTGTCATGTGGCCGGCACAACAACCAACCGCCTTTACTTTTCCACAACTAACGTTAGGTACCCATTAGAGCGGGGTGGACTCAGAGGCGCCCGAAGATCCTGAAGTTAAAAATCCCAGTCTTCACCAGGATTCGAACCCCGGTTCGGTAGCTAAGCGCTTTACCACTCAGCCACCGCGCCTCCTTCAATGTCAATGATCATTGTAAAACTCTAGAAGCTAGCACCGGATTAGTGTGACCTAAATATTGCAGTGAGGGACAGCAAGAAACACTGACCTTTTGTTTGACCAGTGAGTTGTTGTCATTGATGTTCTTGGTGATGTCCTTAGTGACCTCTTCGTTGTTTCTCAGTTCCATCTCCAGCAAAGCTTTGGACGGAGACATCCAATATTCTTTGGGGAGAGAGCCCCTGAAGAAAGATAACAAGCAATTTCAAATGGAAACTTTTAGGGTCCAAACACTTTTAGGATAAAAACACTTTTAAAATCAACTTAATTTTGGTCAGGCTCCAAGAGGCAAAAGGTAAATGTAATTATAGAAAAGAATAAAAAGTAAAGTAATAAAACACTAAACCATAACTTACAAATAGAAAAAAAAACCTAGACCCATAGAAAAAAAAACTAAGAAAATACCTTGAAAGACACAAAGATTAAGGCACAGTTCTTATTTCATATTTCAGGACAAATGTTTCCTTAGCGCTCTTGGAGCAAGGAATGGGCTGCCAGATTAACATGCATGACTACTGACTCGAATTGACACATGGATAAGAGTTGGACATATTTATCTTATGTGGGGTATAATTATGTTCTCTTTTGAAGTAAAAGTCTGTAATTCATAAGATATACAAGTTAGTGTTTCTGTTACAAACTCAGTTGATGCCTGTCGGGCCTATATGTTAAAATGTATGTTAAAATAGCCTACTTGTGAATGTTGTTGCTTTTATATATATATATATATATATATATATATATATATAAAGAGTCCGAGTAATCGCAACAAATGTCCACTAAGTATCAATAGAGTAGTGTAAATCTTAGATCTAGGTTTTAAGAAGAAATTGTATGCCATCTTTAATAATGTTACGATAAAATACTTTGTTTTGTTGAAGAGTGTGGTTACTGCCCTTGAGCGAAAGGGTTGTTGCTACAGGTACATAGAGAGAATTTTTCTTTTTTTTTCTTCAGATTTTAGACAAGACTGGTGTGTGCTTTTGTGTGTGAGCAAGGATTATTAAATACTATTGTTTATTCTCTTATTGAGTACCCGGTACAAATTTTGTTTTCCTAAACAATGCCGTATGATTTCAAATCATTGAAACTGGATTGGCCCTGGTCATTAGGAAAAAAAATGTTTGACATGTTTTGGATTTTCTTTCAGTGTTGAAGATAATCTACTTCCTAGTCCAGGATGAAAGGGGGGGGGGGGGGAAGGAATGACAGCCGGGGGGGGGGGGGGCAGGGTATGAACTTGGGAACATCGAGACACCGAACGACAAACCAGCGCGCATGCCGTACGACCAGGCAGCCATTCTGCACGAAGATAATGCCAATAAAAACGCATTCGAAATTTGTATGGGTGGGGTGGGGGGGGGGGGACATGTTTCCTACTATCGCGTGTAGAATTGGCGTTTTGTCTATTGAATGACACCTCTTTCTGGACATTTTCATAAGTTTTCCAGGAACATGGAAATCGGGAGGCTGAGGGAACCCTGCACTAAGTTATAATGGTTTAATTTAATAATTTACAACTAAAATTAGCGCGGGGCTTATGAAAAGTCCGGGGCCCACTGCGACCGCATAGGTTGCGGTGGCCTAAGGCCGGCCCTGAATCTTTACTCTAGGCTTGATGTGAGTCCAAAGGAACATTCATGCTGCTAACATTTTTCAATGACTGCACAGCTTTGTTGAACTTAGAACAGTGGGAGGAACTAGTAACGGAGGGAATGGACCTCATTCACCAATCGTAAACAAACAACATTTAGTCACGTGATCTTATTGATAAAACAACGGAAAAAACTGTCACGTGACAACCATCATGAATTAAACCTGAGATCGTAAATTATATTGAAGAGATAGAGCACTACGTGGCTAAATGTTTTTTGTTTACGATTGGTGAATGAGGTCCATTAACTTGGCATTTCACATAGGGCCAAAACACAAACATGTTCAGACACACACCCATCCACTGATGAATCATGGGAAATGTGTGAGTTTACATCAAGAAACAAAAGGACAGCCATGTTTACGTGTAAATCAGTGTGCAGTCAGGCTTGAAGATTCTTAACATGTCACATACAATGACTGAAGGTTAAAGGGAAATACATCAAGCTAAACACGTAGAAAAACACACATATAAAAAAAAGTAGACAACACACATACAATTTCAACAACATACAAGTTAACAGCACACACAAGTAAACAAAACATGCACATGTAAACATCATACATTCACAAATACATATTTTTTTTTTTAGAAGAGTTTGGGTATATGGAGAGAACTATGTAGAGATAGGTAGACTAACTTACATTGGACATAAGTTGTGAACAGTTTGCTTTGTTCATCTTATGTGGCCCATACGTGTCAGTGACAAGAGCACATCGTTATTGTCAAAGTGAAATGTCAAGACACCTACCGAGCCCCATTACCATTTGCACTTGTTTTAATAAGAGCATGTCGGTATTTGGGTCAGTCGTCCTAATCCAGCATCCTCTTTTGTACAGCCTCCTCTGGACCATCTAACATTTGACTTAAGTAACTCTAAG